ATTTTTAAAGATTTATTTATGTATTTGAGAGAGAGAGAAAAAAAGAGAAAACAAGCACAAGCAGGAGGGGCAGAGGAAGAGGAAGAGAGAATCTCAAGCAGACTCCACGCTGAGCATGGACCCCGACACCTGGCTTAATCTCACGACCCTCAGATCATGACTTGAGCCAAAACTAAGAGTCATATGCTTACCTGACTGTACCACCCAGGTGCCCCTATTTATTTATTTTTGAGAGAGAGAGAGAGTGAGAGAGAGAGCACAAGTGTGAGCAGGGGGAACGGCAGAGAGAGATGGAGAGTGAATCTCAAGCAGATTCTGCACTGAGCGCAGAGCCTGACCTGGGGCTCAATCTTATGACCCTGAGATCATGACCTGTGCCAAAACCAAGAGTCAGACACTCAACCAACTGAGCCACCTAGTTGCCCCAAGGGAGGTTTTGTTTGTTGCTTCAATCCCTTTAGTCATTTTTAGTCTGTTTAGATTTTCTGTTTCTTCATAATTCATTCTTTCTAGGAATTTATCCATTGCTTTTCAGTTATCCAATTTGTTTACATATAATTGTTCATAGTAGCTTCTATGATTTTTTGTAATTCTGTGGGATAATGTGTAATGTCTTCTCTTTCATTTATAAGTTTATTTGAGTCTTCTCTTTTTTTCTTGATTACTCCAGCTAAAGGTTTGTTGATTTTGTTTATCCCTCCAAAAAAATGGCTCTTAGTTTCATTGATTTTTTTCCTATTGTTTCTTTAGTCTCTATTTTAGTTTTTTCCACTCTGATCTTTTCCTTTCTTCTGCTAACTTGGGCTTAGTCTGTTCTTTTTCTAGTTCCTTTTGGTGTAAAATTAGGTTATTTGAGATCTTTCTCTTATTTTTGGCATTTGTCGCTATAAATTTTCTTGTAGAACTGCTTTCCTGTATTCCATAAGTTTTGGTATGTTTTGTTTTCATTTCCGTTTGTCTCAAGATATTATATGATTTCCCTTTTGGTTTCTTCTTTGATCCATTAGTTGTTCAGAATTGTGTTGTTTCCTTTTCACATTTTTCTGAATTTTCCAATTTTCCTCCTGATTTTTAGTGTAATGCACTGTGGTCAGAAAAGATATTAGAAATAGTTTCAATCTTCTTGCTTTGTGTTCCAACATATGATCTATCTTGGAGAATGTTTTGTGTGCACTTGAGAAGAATGTTAATTCTGGTTTCTTGAATGGAATGTTCTTCATATGTCTGTTAGGTCCATTTGGTCTGTAGTGTTATTTAGGTTCACTGTTTTCTTATTAATTCTGTCTAGATGATTTCTCTAATGTTGAAAGTGAGGTATTTAAGTGTCTTACTAGTATTGTATTGCCTTCTATTTCTCCCTCCAGTTCTAATATTTGCTTTAAATATATAGGTGCTCCAGTGTTGGTACATATGTATTTATAATTGTTATATCCTCTTGATGAATTGACCCCTTTATCACTATGTCAACTTTTTCCTCTTGCCACTGATTTTGAGAAAAGTCTGTTTTATCTGACATCAGTATAGTGCGTAGAATATCTTTTTCCATCCCTTCAATTTCTGCCTATGTGTATCCATAAAGCTAAAGAGAGTGTCTTGTATAGACCACATATCTGGATCTTGTATTTTATCCGTTTAGCCACTTTTGTGTCTTTTGATTAAAGAATTAGTTTACTTACATTTAAATTAATTATTGGTTGGTAAGTACTTACTATTGCCATTTTTAAATTGTTTTCTGAATTTTTTAGTTCCTTTGTTCTTTTCTTCATCTCTTAATTTGTGTTATTTTTTGTATATATTTTTATGTGCTTTAATTCTTTTCTCTAACTTTTATGTAAATACTATAGATTTTCTTTTCTTTTTGTTACCATGAGACTTATGTAAAACATCTTAGAGATATAAGTCTATTTTAAGCTGATAAGAACTCACTTTCAATCACATACAATACTCTACACTTTTACTTCTCCTCCCCCCAAATTTTATGCTATTGTCACATTTTACATCTTTATATATTGTACATCCATTAACAAATTATTATAGCTACAATTTTTTAAATATTATCGTCAGTTTTTATAATAGAGATAAAAGTAATTTATATACCATCATTACAGTACTGAGGTATTCCAAATTTAACTATTTACTCTTATGAATGAGTTTTATGCTTTTATGTTTTCATGTTGTTACATAGTGTCCTTTCATTTCAGCTTGAGCTCCCTTTAACATTTTTTGTAACAGCAGGTTTAGTGGTAATGAACTACCTTAGCTATTCTTTGTCCAGGAATGTGTTTATCTTTCCTTCATTTCTGAAAGACAGTTTTGCTGGGTATGGCATTCTTGGTTGGCAGTTTTTTTTTCTTTCATTACTCTGAAATATATCATTCCACTAACTCCTGGCCTGCTAGATTTCTGCAGAGAAATCCACTGATAGTCTTATGTGGGTTTTTTGTATTGACAAATTGCTTTTCACTTGTTGCTTTCAAAATTATCTCCTTGTCTTTGACTTTAAGCATTTTGGTTATAATATTTCTCAGCGTAATCTTTGGGTTGATCTTGCTTGGGTTCCTTTGAGTGTCCTGTACCTGGATGCCTATATCTTTTCCAAAATTTGGGAAGTTTTCAGCTGTTTTTTTCTTTAAATGATCTTTCTGCTTCTTTCTCCTCTTCTTTTTCTTCTGGGACTCTCATGATGCATGTGCCCATTTGCTTGTTGGTATCCCATAATTTAGTTAGGCTTTCTTCACTCTTCCTTCTTCTTGTTCCTCTAAGTGGCTAATTTCAGATGATTTATCTTTGTGTTTTCTAATTCTTTTGTGTGATCAGGGCTGTTTTTGAAGCTCTGTTTTGAATTCTTCATTTCTGGCATTGTATTCTTGAACTCCAGGATTTCTGTTTGGTTCTTTTTTATAGTTTCTGTTTCTTTATTAAATGCGTTTTGTTCATGAATTATTTTCCTGTTTTTTTTAGCTATCTGTGTTCTTTTGCATTTAAATCAATTTTTTAAAGATGATTATTTTGATTGCTGGGCAAATCATAGATCTCCATTTCTTTGGGGTCCATTACTGGAGTGCTATCAGTGTTTGTTGGTGATGTCATATACGTTTGATTCTTCATGATCCATGTTGCCTTGCATTGACATCTATGCATTTGTAGGGGCAAACACTTCTTTCAGTCTTTATAGACTGTAAGATAAAGACCTTTTTTTTTGTCCTATTCCCTGGGCTGATAGTATTATCTCCAGACTTGCAGTTGTGCTGTGTTGGAGCCAGTTACAAGGCTGTCACTGGATCTGCAGTGGAGTCTGTGGTTGGGCTTGTTACCAGGGCTTAGGCCAGGGTGGATCACTTCTGGTCCCTGGGTGCATGCAACTGTTGTCTCTAGTACCTTGTCAGTAGGGTGCTACTGGACAAGGGTCCACATGTGGGTCCTATTATCAGGTAAACAGTCAGTGGGCCTATGATCAGGTAAATGGTAGATGTGGCTCCCATCAGATCCCTGGGAGAACTGCTGCCTCATTACTGGAAGGCTCCCTGGGTGGGCAGGATTGATCCTGAACTGTGGCTGAGAGGTGCTGGAACTGAGCCTCAGGGCTGTTTCACATTCCACAGCCAAGATTAAGGTTCGCAGACCTGGCTCTGGGGGCACAGATGGGATGTCTCCCTCCAAGTCACTGGATAGGTTGGATTGGCCCCTGACCATGGCCAGAGGGGCTCAAGCCAAGTATAGGGCCCTTTCAGGAACTTTTGGGGTACAGTTGTGTCTTTTACCAGGTCCCTGTGCCTGTAGGACTGCTCATGGATTGAGGCTGGGAGGGGCTGGTACCCAGTATAGGGATCACTGGGAGTACAAACAGGAGTGTCTCCTGTTAGGTCTCTGTGGCAGCACGACTATTCATAGATTGCTGTTGGAGGAGCTGGAGCTGAGTATAAGGCCCTTTCAGAGTCATCAGGGTTGTATCCAGGAATGTTTCCCCCTGGGACCCTGGACCCTCAGGACTGTTGCCTGACTATGACTGGGAGGAGGCTGGGCTCATGTATTGGCCCTTTCAGGATCCCTGTGAGCACAGATGGGAGTGTCTGCAGCCTGGTTCTCATGCCAGCATGCTTACCTGTGGACTGTGACTGAAAGGGTGGGGAGGAGAGGATGAGGCCCTTTCCAGATCTTCAGATACACAGATAGGAATGTCTTCTGCTGGGACCCTGGACCCTCAGGACTGCTGGCAGACTGACTGACTGTTGCTGTGAGGAAGATGGAGCACATATAGGGCCCCTTCAGGATCTCTAGGGGCACAGACAAGAGTGTCTCCAACAGGGTCCCTGTACCAGCAAGATTGTTCCTAGACTGTGGCTGGGATGGGCTGGAGCCCAGTTACAAGTCCATTTCAGATCTTTGATCTGCCTGAATTTGGTGGGCTTACCTCCAGGGGTTCCTGCACTGCAGCCAAGAAGAGCTTGAGCTGGTTCAAATACCACTTCTGGATCCACAGTTGAAATGAGGTTTGTATGACTATCACTTGATGTGCAGATCTCTTGGCATATAGTACATGCTGATGACAGACCCCAAGCTGAATAGGCTATCTATAGCTGAGTTTTCAGGGGTACAGAGGTATTTCTGTTTCTGTAGCTGAGACTACAGTCAGTAAATCAGCTGCCTGGTGTAAGCCTGCCTTCTCAGTACAACTCTCTTCATTCTTGGACTGCACTGTAGTTTCACAGTCTCCTATCTAGATCTGGAAGCTCCCAGGAAGGCACTTTTGTTTGTGCATGGATGGCAAATTATCGTTGTCAAGGAGGTGATATGTGCAAGAGATGTCCTATTTGGCCATTTTGCTGATGTCCTATGCTATATAATGTAATTTGTATCAACTAAGATTTTTTGACTCTTTATTTGCAAAATAAGGATAACTAAAAAGCAAAACATTAGATGCTAAGTAAGTTAGTTTTTACTTTACTCATTAATATTAGTACTAATTAAAATGTTAGAATCCTTGACTTTTAATATATTAGACTTGGGAGACCTGGCGTTGATTGTTATTGTCAACATGAAAGTGGTGCAGCTGTCCTGCAGCTCCAATTCTTGATCAATGAGGTAAGGATTTTCTTGACTATTTATCACAGAGACGTACATATACACACTACATTAGTTGATGTGATCTTTTTTATATTATGATATATAAAATATATTTGTACTTAAATATGTTATTTTTTATATATTCTAAGTGTTTAAAGATATATATGTGTGCAATATTATTCATGGTCACATTTCTTATAAAAGACTACTTCAGTATTTGTCAATTTATTATATTTTAAAGGAGAAAGTTTGCATATATCAGAAGATTCTGTTATTATTATGCAGCATAATTTGCGGATTATCTACATGTTTTTAAAAATTTACTAAAACTCTAATTGCTCCATCAACTACTAAACTTTTCTTCAGCATACTAATTTAAATTTTATAACCAGCATTAACTTCATGTTTTGCCCTTATCTTTCAGGAAATAACTTTTTCAGTTGTTTACCTATGGGTTCTGCTATCTATCTATCTATCTACCTATCAATCATCTATCTATACAGATATATTTATTGGTACATATATGCATTTGTATTTATTTATGTATCCATAGCTATTATGACAATTGGCTCCCTACCCTATCCCTATTCTATAGACCTAGGGTGATGAGGAACTTCCTAAAGACAGAGTATGTATTTAAAAACCTCAGAAAAGTTACAGATCTTCCATCAGTTAAAGGCTTCTTAAGGTCTTCTGGACTCATTTTTTACTCACATTTTAAGTGGATCATTGTGTCTTTTAGAGGTGTTTTCAGTTAACCTAGCTGTCAGTGCAAAAATGCCTTAAAAATTTGTGCCATACCAAATTCAGGCACTTAGCAGACTGAACTCAATGCCTTGAGAAAAAAAAAATGAAGTACTGCTGGTTGTTTTCTTATGGTATGAATGACCTTTTATTCCATATCTCCATATATTTTCATATAAGTTTTTTTCTAAGAATTTTATAATCATAAACATGGGTAAAATGGTTCATAGATTTTTGTCTCAGAGACACTTTAAGGCATGAAAAATTTGTGATGTTGGCAGATGTCCACTTTTTACTTATCTTGGTTCAAACTCTTTCTCAGAAGTCAGTGAGATTCTCCTTATTGATAAACCTAGCATATTTTACCTTGTAGGTATACTTGCTATGGGGTACCACAATGAGAGAGGGAGATAAGAAAGAAAAGGGAAATTTAAAAAAAAATATTTTATTGTAATACTTGTCATAGGTATTTAGAATGCCAACCTTTTTGAAGTCTCTGTGTTACTCTAGTGGAGAGATCTCAGCCTTTTGCCTTCTGCATGGTAGTGTACTAGCAGGCATAACTTGTTTCCAGGTAATTTTCTCTGGTTTCCATCCTCTGAGAATTATCTTCAAGTCCCTAAGTTTGCCTCTATGCTGAATAAGTAAAAAGACAAGCCTTCAACATCCTTCAGTTGTTTACATTGTCTAGCCTGAAGTAGTCACCCTGATCCATCTCACACTCAGGTTTCTTTTTTTTTAAA